CCGCGCCGCGAGTCCCGCGTCACTCCTGATTCCCTCGGTCTGGTTATTGCGTTCACAGGAGAGCTGGGAGTGGCCCTTAAGTTTTCCCTGCTGTGTGGAGAGAGATGACTAGGGGATTACACACCTGTCGCGCTGGTTTCAATGCAGTTATCTCCTCCGCCCGTGAAGCCATTTCTCTGCCATGGTGATATCCCATGCAAATGGTGACCGTTTGTTCCCTTTGCCGGGTGACCAATGCAACGGGTGGGTCCTGACTGTCTCTCCCAATCCCTGTTTCAGTCCTGTGGCCACTGCCTATGAAGGCTCGGTTGGCTTTTACCTCTGTAAGTTCCTAAGGGCCGGCCAATTATTTCAGTGGGATCGTTAGTGCTGAGTCACACGAAGCAGGCGAACCGGAGCTTAATTGCCTCTGATTCGGGCTCTGTGTGTGTGTTCTGAAGGGCCCAGCCTGTACACCCCAGATCCACGTCAGCTCAGCATTGCCTAGTGATCCTGAGCAAACAGCATTTAGACAGTTTACGGCTCCCTATGCCCGCGCAGTTGAAGATGTCAGAGACTTGATCTCTCTGCGCCTGCCACCATGTTACATCTCCTCAGTGATATTCATGTTGCCCTTACAGCTTCCTGGTATAAGCAAGTTCTTGGGATTATACAAACTGCTGCTTCTGTTTCCAGTCCAGATTTCTAGAAATGAAACCCTGCCGCCGTCGCCTCCGTCTCTGGGCCGCGCTGACGAGCGTCCGCGCTTGTCTGCGACCGTAGCAGAGCCGCCCTGGCCTCCGCAGCTCTTCAGCCCGGTGCCCGGCCCCAGGGGCCCAAGCGGCTGCCGCCGCGGCTCTCTGTCCCCCTCCTCCGGGGCACGGGTCCCCTGGCAGGGGGGTGCAGAACGACCCCAGAGCAGGCTCTGCCCGAAGGTGCAACGGCGAACAGGCCACCGAGATGCTCGAGGCTGCAGTCCAGCCTTCGGAGGACAGGGCTCGGCACGCAGCCCAGCTCCAACCTCTAGGTGCGGCTGCCGGACAGTGTATACAGAGCCATCAAGACAGCAAGCAGAAAGCAAATGGCGGCTCCCGCGGAGTGGATTTTCGGCACAGAAACCACAGCCCCGCCAACAATCCCAATCCACAAACTCTCCCTGTATAAAAAATATTCAAAAAAAAAAAAAAAGAAAAGAAAAGAAAAAAAAAAGGCGGGGTGCACTGAGCTTTCTTTGCCTTGGGTACTTACAATCCACTGCTGATTACACATTCAGCTTCTCCGCCCGGAGCGAAGCGAAAGAGGAAGCAGATAGGAGCAAAGCGCCCGCGGCTCTGAGCAGCCAAGCGTCTCTTTTTCGATTTCTTTGTTCTTCCTGCTCCTTGGCAAAGTGGTCCACTACAGATTAACGGTGAAAGGAGCTTTAACAGACTGTGCGAAATCTCTATTAAAGCCGCTGCTTTGAGCACCACGCTCAGCACTTCAGCAACCCCCGTACGCAGCGGCCATCTTCCCTTTGTACAATGCCTTTTTAAAAATTGATTTTCCTTTTATAATGAGCTGCTATCTTTGTTTATAATTAACTTATGAAAAAAATTTAAGCTTCATTTTGACCCAAGGAGACCATTGACTTTAATGAAAGAATTTGAATATAGGGGTCTCTACTTAGTATTTGGGAGTCAGGTATGGCATATGTTCGGGTCCTCAGCCATGGTAGCTGCTCATGGTTTTATTTGGAAATAGGGCTTTTGTGCTTGAAATCAAATTAAGATGTGGTCACACTGGATTAGGGTGGGCTCTGATTTAATAACTGGTGTTTTCATAAGGAAAGGGAAATTTGGGTACAGACTCAGAGATAATCAAAGGGAGAAGAGCACACAAAGATAGGCAGAGGTTAGAAGGATGTGTATCCAAGCCAAGGGACATTAAGGATTGCTGGAGCCACCAGAAGGTAGGAATGAAGCATGTAGCAGTTTCTCCTTTGGAGCCTCTAGTAGGATCATATTGACTTCAGATTCTAGCCTCAGAATTTTGAACGAAAAATTTCTATTGTTTTATGTTATCTAGTTCATGACAGTTTTTTTTTTCTTTTTTGTTGTTGTTCTGGCAGCCTTGGGAGATGAATACAGATATAAAAGATCAAGCATAGCAAAGGCACATCTTTCTCTTCAGTATTTCCTGTTTCCAGGGACTATAGATATTGATAGACACCTAATAGACAGCAGACAAGCAATGTACATATATTTTAACACCTTTGTGAAGGCAAACCATTTCCAACTATAAAGATATGTTTAACTTTATACTTTCGAGTCCATCTGGAATATATATATATATATATATATATATATATATATATATATACATATATATATATATATATATATACATATATATATATATACATATACATATATATATATGTGTGTGTGTGTGTGTGTATGTATGTATGTATTTTAAAATTTGAAACGGCATAGGAAGCTTTCCTGATTTGAGATAAAAGTATTTGAACAATTTATATGGAATGTTGCACATCAGATAACATCCATACAATAATATATAGGAGATGTGCCACTGCTATGAAGCATTGTATGACCGGGAAAGCACGGACTTGGAGTTGTTGGGCAAAGGGACAATGGAAAACATGAGCAAAGAAGCCATTCTAGATCGAATGTTCTGAGCATCTGCACTAAACAGTCTTATTCTCATTTTGCCACTTTTCATTGGGAAAAATGATCTTTCATGCTAATATTTGTTTGTTGAATAAAAAATTAAAAAGGAGAAACAACAATCATTTAGAAAATAGAACACTAATTGGGCACTCTATACTGGTTACTTTTGCATATGTGATCTCGTAGATCTTTTAGTAAATCCCTCAAGATATAAAGGTCACGGACTATGTCTCCCATTTTTTTTCAATCATGCATCAGGGATGTTCAGTGACTCTGTCAAGACCTCAAAGCTTGTTGTTTAAAGTCAGGATCCAAGACTCTAATACAAGTTTTCTGACTCAAGAAGTAACCAGTTGCCTCTCATGATTAAATGTATTTGAGATGTCATTGTCCAGTAATCCAGAACATAAAACGCATTAGAAGACACATTCAGGTTAAAATCAAATCCAATGAAAGAGATGCAGAAAGTTATTATTTTTATCTGTTTTTCTTTGGAAACCAGAAGCTTGGCTTAAGAGTCAGATAAGGTTTATGTGATTCAAATATCTATATTTTTACTTGACTATTTTATGAGAAGATTTCTTTTGAATGCCTGAATCTTCCGTCATTATGAAGTAGAAATAATCAACAGACAATAAGAATGAACAAGCCTACAGTCGGTTCTGATATCAATCTTCAGTTTGGACTCAGGAAGAGATTGCTGATAATGCTTTTCTATTGCTGAGAGATTCCACTGCAGCTGGCCGTGTGGCATCCTACACAGGAAATTCCACTTCTCTGGGTGTGATCTGAACTCCAGGATGCTTTACTAACCCTCAATATTGACTTCTGAAATGGACCCAAATACAGATAATTGAGTGCAAGTGATTTTTCACAATGATGGTATAATATTGCACCTACTTTTGATCATGCTCCAAAATTGTGTAAATTCATGTTCACAAATGCCCCTTTAACCTTCTATCCAAGATAGAATGATTTACCGACATTTTTTTCCCCCAGCTTCTCTGTATGTTCTCTAATCTCTTAACCAAAGAAAGCTCACCTGGGAATTTTTCTCTAGCACAGATGTATTGACATAAAAAGATACCTTTTCTTCTTTTCTTCTTTTTCTCAGGTGGCCTTTTAAAAGTTTAATTGTGCTTATATCACAGAATTTTCCTTGCTTTTACGTTGAATTTGTCTCTGCAGGAAAGTTACTTTTGGTCATCATGGTCAAAGTGTATTGCCAAAGTTATCTCTGGGGGCTCTGAGTGGGCTCTTACAGTCGATGAAAAGCAGGCTTTTGCCATTTTGAGGTCAGTTTGGTTTTATTATTAAGTTCAACTTTGGTATTCAATTCTTGTTTTTTAAAATTCAATTCTACATTGAGAACATAATCAACTATAAAGCAACTTTTCTTAAGAAATATGCAAAATCTTAAAATGTGGTATATTATACTTGAGGATGAATTGGAAACTGACATTGTGCTTTTTTTCCCTTCCTCAAAATTATAGCGTGGAGACTACCCACTAGAGGGTGCAATCGAGCTGTTATGGTGGGATGACCTGCTGCCTCAGAGGTTTCTTGCTTGGCAGCCCTGGGTCTCTGAAATGGATCATGAGGACCTTCTAGCAGGCAAGGAGGGAGCAGTGGTGCTTTGGGGTTCCTAAGGTTCTAAGTGTCCAAGAGGGAAAAATAATAGAGGTTTTATGTATATTTTTAAATTTAATGAACAAACTCACAAACACACAGAACCCCAAATAAACTTAACGATAACCCCGTGGTAACTGACTTCAGTAGAAATATTATTTTCTTCAGTATTCAAGGAATCAAAGGTCTATATATTGCTTTTGGCCTGTCAGATTAATATTGTTTTTATCATAAAGATACGTTGAATAAAATGCTTCTCTAAGCATTACTGCTTTTTGCTTTCAATTATCTCTGATTATTAGATTTGACTGTAAAAATTCTAATCCAGATGAGTCATGGAACAAAATCAGATCAATGCTAACAGGACCCCAGACAACATACAAGCAATACCATATGCTCTTCAAACCTTCACATTAAGTCTCAAGTTTCTTTTTCCTTTTTTGATCTTAGAAGGCTATTAACCTTTATAATGTTTCAGTGTCAAAGTAGTTTTATAATCTCTAGCTTAGCCCCTTAAAATATTTTAGTCTGCTTCCTTTCATTAGGTTTTTAATAAAATGAAATCAGTAATGTCCTTAATATTGAAAGACTTATTAAAAATTATCAGGATTCTCTTATAACTGCTTATGAAGAATTTTCAAATTCTTAATCAATTAGATTTCCCAATGTTCCATCTCCATTAATACTTCCTTAGTTTTGAGTTATCACAGCAACCAAATACCACTGTTTTGCTGATTTACTGTTGTACATTTTATTAAAGAAATTCTTCGAAGCGTTGACTTGGCTTGCAATGTGGCTGTTGGATCAAACGGTACAGGTGCATGCCTTTGCTTGTTCTTGCTTTGACCAGGCAGAAATACCTATTAAATACCAAGTTTGACATTAGAGAAAATAATAAAACTGATGTCTCTCAAGTATCCTTTCAGTTGTTTTTAGCTTTCAGATCTAACCCTGGCTCTGGATGAAACTTTTTTTTTTTAATTCTCTTAAATCTTCTTAACTGTTTGTAACCAGAGATTAGCAATAGTTTTTATTGATTTCTTCTTGAATATTACTTAAAATAATGTTTTGTCTTGGCTATAACTTCACTATCTATATACTACATATTTTAACTATATGTAGTATAGTTAAAATATGTAATTTATATATATATATATATATATATATATATATATATATATATACACTATCTCAGTGGTTATCATTTTACTCTTAGTAATTCTTTAAATCCTTAAAATTAATTGGAGGCCTTTTGAGCTTTGATTTATATTATCATATATACTTGATATTTATTGCATTAAATATGAAAGTTGAGAAGGTTCTAGAATATTTATGAATTTATTTAAAATAACATTAAAATCAAGCATTTATTAACATGTTATAAGTATTAAAATTGTTTATTAATGTAAGTAATATTTTAATGGAAAAAAAAACTATTTTCCAAAACAAAAATGTTTTGAGAAGAATGGCATTGTTTTTCATTAATTTTTTAAATTCATTATGCTGTATTCATAGCTGCACATAACAATTTGATCAATCTCATTCTTCAGCTCTTCCCCTTTGCTTTTCCTCATCTTTCCCTTCATTCCCTGGCTCGAATGTACCATTTATTATTATCTATTTTATTAAATTAGTGCATTATAATTTTATATAAAAGTGGAACTCATGGACATAGTATAATTTGGTTGATTTTTGTCCCCCAGTGTTTCCCATGCCCTTCCCTTCTCCCTCTCTCTTAATCTCCATCCTTTACTATACTGGTCTCTCTTGTATTTCATGACAACTCTTTTTTATTTCTTTTTCTCTCTCTCTAGCTTCCACATATGAGAAAAATTGTTTGATCCTGGACTTTTTCAGTGAATTTCTAAATTCACTTAGCATGATGTTATTTGGTTCCATCCATTTACCAGCAAATGACATAGCTTCCTTAGTTGTAGATGGACACAATATCTTTTATTTATTTATTTTTATGTGGCGCTGAGGATCGAACTCAGTGCCTCACACATGTGAGGCAGGCACTCTACCACTGAGCTCCATCCTTATTTATGGCTGAGTAAAATTTCTGTGTGTGTGTGTGTGTGTGTGTGTGTGTTTATCCATTCATCTGTTGATGGGCACTGGATTGTTTTCATAATTTGGCTATCATGAATTGTGCTGCTATAAAAATTGATATGCTTGTATCATTATAGTGATGATTTCAGTTTTTTTGTATAAATATCAGGGAGTGGGATAGATGAGTCATAGGTTAGGTTTCATACCTAGTCTTTTAGAAATTTCCAAGATATCTATACTGATTTCCAAAGTGGTTGTACTATGTAAAGTGTACTCTCCTTGCCCCATTCCCTGCCTATATCCTGGCCAGCATTTATGTTTTTGTATTCTTGGCAACTGCCATTCTAACTGGATTGAGGTAAAATCTCTGTGTAGTTTTTATTTGCATTTACATTATTGTGAAAAATGCTGAACATTTTTTTCATCTATTTTTTGATCATTTGCATTTTTTCCTCTTTTTCATTTTTTTTTTTTTTAGATTTTTCTGTTACTGAGGATTGAACCAAGAGGCACTCTATCACTGAGCTACATCCCCAGTCCTTTTTTATTTAGAAATAGGATCTTGCTAATTTTTGCAGGCTGGTCTTGAACTTGCAATTCTCCTCCAACCTCCTGATTAGCTGAGAATACAGGTATGAGACATGGTGCCCAGCTCCTGTATTTCCTCTTTAAGTGTCTGTTTAATTCATTTGACCATATATTGATTGGGTTATTGTTTTTCTGTTTTTTTTTTAGTTCTTTATATATTTTATATATTAATCCCCTATCAGATGAGAAATGGGAAAAGATTTTCTCTTATTTTGTAGGCTCTTTCTACATATTCTTAATTGTTTTCTTTGCTGTGAAGAAGTTTTAACTTGATGGCATGACACTTATTGTTTCTTAGCTTTATTTCTTGAGCTTTAGGATTCTTATTATGGAAGTTGATGCCTATACCAAAATTTCAAAGTGTTGATTTTATGTTGTCTTCTAGCAGTTCCGGTGCTTCTAGTATAAACCCCAGGTCTTTTATTTTCTTTGATTTGACTTCTACAGGGTGAGAGATAGGAATCTGATTTCATGCTTATACATATGGATATCCATTATTCCCAGAACTATTTCCTAAGAAGGCTGTATTTTCTCTAATGTATGTTTTTGGCACCTATGTCAAAGATCAGACGTATGTATCCCTGTAGTTTTGTCTCTGTGTCTTCTGTTCTATTCCTTTGGTCTTCATGTCTGCTATTATGTCAATACCATGCAGTTTTTGTTACTGTAGCTCTGCAGTAAAATTTAAGATTGGGTTTTGTGATGTCTCCAGCTTTGCTCTTATTGCTCAGTATTATTTTGGCTTTTCTGGGTCTCTTATTGTTCCAAATGAAGTTCTGTGAAGAATGTTACTGGTATTTTGATGGAGATTGCAGTGAATCTGTAACTTGCTTTTTTTAATGTGGCCATTTTGATAATATTATTTTTTTCCATTTTTAAGGTCTTCTTCAATGTATTTCTTTAATATTCTATAATTAACATTATAGAGGTCCTTCAGCTCCTTGGATAGATATATTTTCATATCTTTTATTTTATTTTGAGGCTATTGTGAATGAAATCATTTTCCCAATGATTAGCACTTCTTTTTCAGAAAATTCATTATTGGTGTATAGAAAACCAGTATATATGTTGATCTTTAGTTCTGCTACTTTGTTGAATTTATTGTCTCCAGAAGTCTTCTGGTGGAGGCTCTTTGGTCTTCTAAGTATAGGGTTATGTCATTTGCAAAAAAGAGATAATTTGACTTCTTTTTTTTCCCTATGTGTATCACTTTAATTCTATTCTCTTGCCTAACTTCTCTAGCTAGAATTTCAAGTGCTATATTGAATAGGAGTGGTGAGAATGGACATCCTTGTCTTATTCCTGCTTTCAGTATTTCACATTCAGTATATTAGCTTTGGTTTCATTGTAGCCTTTAAGATGTGGAGGTAAGTTCCTACCCCTACTTTCTTCAGTGTTTTTAACATGAATGGATGCTAGATTTTGTCAATTTTTTTCATCTATTGAAATTATCATGTTATTTTTGTCTTTAATTCTATTTATGTGATGAATAGTATTTACTGATTTGCATATGTTGAACAAAATTGCACCACTGGGATGAAATCAACTTAGTCACAGTGTACATTATTCTTAATGTATTTTGAATATGGATTGCTAATAGTTTATTAAGAATTTTTGCATGTATGTTCCTCAGGAATAATGGTCTGTAGCTGGTTACAGTATATGAAGACTGTTCAGTCTCAGTTGTATGGTTGGAAAAGGGAGATGTATTTATTAGTATTTCATACAATCATGGATATTTTCATTGAAACTATAAGTTTTAACAAGTGGTGGTTTTATTTTTTAAAATTTATTTTCATTACTTTTGGAGTAGCAGACATTGAACTAAGGGGTATTTGGCCACTAAGCCACTCTGAAGCCCTATTTTGTATTTTATTTAGAGACAGGGTTTCACTGAGTTGCTTAGTTGCTTAGCCTTGCTTTTTTCTGAGGCTGGCTTTGAACTCATGATCCCCCTGCCTCAGCCTCCCAAGCTGCTGGAATTATAGTGGTATGACACCATGCCCAGCCAAGTGGTGGTTTTAAAAATAGTATTTGCAAGATAGAATTTAAAATCATAGCAAATAACATTAAAATTCATTGATCTAACTTGCATTTTCAATGGATCTGTTACCTAGGCATGATATAACATTATGAACTGGTCTTTTGGAAAATACTTATTCCCCAGGTTATATACATTTTCCAAATGTTAACATTTCATCATTTACTATCAAAACAAGAAAATGAACCACACTTATTAAAATCACCACAGATGTTATCAGAAAAGTCTTTAAAAAGTGTTTGAAAGCTGCCAGTCTCCTAGTGATGGACACCTCTCCCTGTCTGCATCTAAGGTGCTGGTAGAATTATACACCAGCGTTTTTGGATCATCAATACAAGTACAAACACAGTGAAAAAGTAGATATAACTATATCTTAGTGATCATTACTTAAATAATTTGGTCTCATAAGTTTTCCCAAAAGGTATTGGAGAATACCCAGGGTCAGTTTGCTACCCTTTGCAGAATGCTATATTAATTCAAAAGCCTTTCTGTAACTCTAGACCCATATATCAATGGTCTGCTAGGTTTGTTAAATGCATTGTCAACTCAAGTATCTGAACTGGATGTTGTCACATTTTATTTTCTTCCTTCAAGCTGCTTCTTTATCTTATATTCTATTTCAGACATCTTCCTTCTCCAAGCCACTTCAGTCAGAAACCTAGGGATGGCTCTTGATTTTTGTTTACTCTTAACTTCTTTTGATGAATTAGTGACTATGTTCAGTCTTTCAAATATACTCTTTCTTGTTCAGCTCTATCAAGATTTAGTTCAAGCCATTAACATCTCAGACAACTGACTCTATTGAGTCCCTTTGCCCTAGGTCTCCCTCTTCTATTAATATGCCACATGGTTTCTAAAGTTAGTTTTCAAAAAGCAAATCCAGATATGCAACATTTAGAATCAGAGTCTTTATGTCACACAGCACTGGCCTCATTTCTTTCTTCTGTAACTTCACTGAGTGACTATGGCAAATTACTCAGGATCCCGGTGTTAACTCAGCAATAAAAGAGAACAAAATCATGGCATTTGCAGGCAAATGGGTGGAGTTAGAGAAGATAATGCTAAGTGAAGTTAGCCAATTCCAAAAAAAAAAAAACCAAATGCCAAATGTTTTCTCTGATAAAGGAGGCTGATTCACAGTGGGGTAGGGAGAGGGAGTGTGGGAGGAATAGATGAACTCTAGATAGGGCAGAGGGGTGGGGAGGGAAGGGAGGGGGCATGGGATTAAAAATGATGGTAGAATGTGAGGGACATTATTATCCAAAGTACATGTATGAAGACATGAATTGGTATGAATATGCTTTGTATATAACCAGACTATGAAAAATTGTGCTCTATATGGGTAATAAGAATTATAATGCATTCTACTGTGATATAAAAAAGAGAGGGTCTTTATTTGTAAACAATTTCTATGCAAAAAAATATTTATTACATTTGGCTAAAAAGATAGGTGGAGCACAAAACCTAGCATACAACAAGTTCTTAATGGTGGTTTTTAATTTTTTGTCCAATTCTTCCCCCCAAATTCTCACCTTTGTATTGAAAACATCAGCTGCCATGATAGAATTAGAATTACACTCTTTAACTTATTCTTGATTTTATTCCCAGGTCTTAACACCTTGTCTGAAACATGATTGATACCTAATAATTATTAGTTGGTTAAATGAAGAAAAGTTAGATCTAAATTATTGATAAATATAAACGTGTTAGTTGTTTTAACTTTTTCGATGGTAGGACCCAAGGACCCAACCAGCACAATTATAGAGGAGGAAAGTTTATTTGAGGACTCACAGTTTCAGTGTTCTTAGTCCATAGAAGGCCAGCTCCCTTCCACAGGGCTTGAGGTGAGGATGAATATCATAGGAGGAGAGTGTGGCAGATGGAAGGAAGCAGCTCACATCATGGTGACCAGGAAGCAGAGAGAAAAACTCCACTCTCCAGATAAAAATATATACCCAAAGCCACGCCCCAAATCCCACCCCCTCCAGCCACATCCTACCACTTCAGTTAATTAACTCATTTCTCCTCTAAACTTTCTTGCATTGTCTCACATGTGAGCTTTTTGGGGATACCTCACATCCAAACCATAACACTAGTCTTATTGCTGCTCATATTTTTTAGTCATGTACCTTTATTCTTGAAGATCCTACTAGTTGTCAGATGAAAATATCTTGTAATGATGTAACATGTATTATTTAACCTGAATAAAAATATTAGCCTGTGAACATATGGCCCTGAAGTTGGTAAAATTCTTAAGCCCATTAAATGAAAAAAAATTTTTTTCTAAAGCCCTCCAAGGGCCAAACTTGATTATGGGTGGGTTTGATGAGGGTGGGAAAAGTTCCCCAAACTCCTGAGATTATGCACAAAATTTAATGAATTTCACTTATGCAATATTTTTCTTTTGGTGGTGAGGTTGGGTTGTGGGGAATCTTTGCTTTTGCCAGACTCTCAAAAGAGATCTGTGACCAGACAAGTAATAACAACTGTTATAGAGATGGCAGGGGACATAAAGCCAGGTTGCCAGGATCCATGACAAAGTTAGTGGGATGTACTTTTCTGCAGGGAAGATTTTTGGAAGGAATTAAATCACACAGTGAAGGCAATTGTCCTATACTTAGAACTGAACTTTGAAAATAAATTATCTGAAGTCCACAACCTTGAACCCAAGTACCTGAGCCCTGAGCAGGAGCCAATAAATAAAATCATTAGCTCACAGTGCTATTGTACCCATGCTTCTTCAGTGTCCCTTGGGTTTGTGGCCAACCCTGCTGGGGCTCACATAGAGCCTGTGATGATCATAGCCTTAGGCTTGGTTTCTTTGGTGTAAGTCTCCTGATTTTTTTCTTTCATTCTTTGTGTGTTCTCAACGTGGTGCCTTTTATTTTTTTATTTTTAGAACTAAAATCAGAATAGATCTAAAAAAGGAACATTGGAACATCGTGGCTTCCCCTTTTTAAAAGCATGAGCAGAGAAAAAAGAGCTGTTGTTTGACCTTCTGACACCTTTTGAAAATATGGTGGTTACTAGAATTTTTTTTATCATGCTCCTTTTGAACTTTAAATTGACTATGTGGATAGTTTAACTAAAACTCAGCGAAATATTGGAAGATTTACTCAGATGAAATATAGTGTCTAAGTGTAAGATCAGGACCAGATGGGACAAGAATTGACAAAGAGCCAAGAAATAGTGAGGAGAATGCCAAAACTATCCAGAGCGGAAATGCTAATTAGCATCTTTGATCTGAAATTCCATATGTGATTTTACATGTATCAGACTAGATTAGGATCTGGGATCCTGTCCACTCTCCTTAGGGCAATAATTTATCCCCATTTGTCCAGGACAATCCCAGTTTACAGTCATTGCTCAAGAATCTCATTAGTTCCTCTTTCACCCTCAAAGGTGTCTCAGTTTAGACCACAAATCACGTGGATCTGCTATTTGACACTAATAATGTTATTTATGAGTTCATTATGCCCCAGGGATTCGTCAAATATAGAGTCCTCATTGAAACCAAAGAAACAAAGTGTGGAAGAATACACTGGTAACCTAGGGGAAAAGGCCACAGATTGTGTTGCTTTAAAGATTCAGTGTTACAGTGGAGACGTGAAGCATGACTGCATAGAAACTTAACCTCGTCACTCAGAGTGTTCTTGGTGGACAGCCCATGGGTCAGTGGTCTGTGCAAAAGAATTGTGATCAAGACCTTGTCGACAGAAGATGGAGAAATGCCTCAGTGGGTACCATGGTCAGCTTTTCCTCCTTGTGGTATTTTTTTCTTAGTACTTGTGTGCACATTTGCCAAATTTATGAGAACTGAAACTCTGATAAGGGTGTGGGACTACAGGTACTATCCAGTGCTCCAGGAGGTCTGATAAGGGACATGCTTTAATCAGATTTTCTGGTTGTTCAGTTTCATGTGCAGTTTTTGTAAATAAAAAGTAGAAATTATTAAAATGTATCAAAATGAATGTATTGCCAAACTCTAAATATAACATGCACCTTAAAATAGTTTCATGAGAACTGACTGATTATATTTGGGTGCCTTTCTTTATTACTCTTTATGTGAAGATCTCTGTTTCTCTCCTCCATCCATGTATGGTTCTCAAAAGAGATATTTTGGGCTTTTCTCTCTCAGTTGCTTATTTATTAAAATTTGGGGATGTACGTATGTGTGGCCCAGATTTGTGAAGGGCCTTGGTTCCACTTTGCAGTGTGGTTGCACACTTATACCCCTTTGGCTACTCCTAGGCAGACATGTGAATGAGTGAGAAAAATGTGGTTCCTCTTTTTCTGAAAACTCTTATTAAATTAAATGTTTTATTCCCCTACAAAACTAGAAACAAAATTGATCATCTCAGGAGAACTCCATCTTATGTCTCAGAAGTTTTGCTGTAAATTTTTCTTCCTTCCTTCCTTTTTATCTTTTGGGAAGAGAGAAATGTTTTCTTTCTTTTTTTCTTTAACTGTCTCTGGCATTCATATACCTTGAGATTTAGGTTCTTTACAACATACTTGAATAAATCTTTTTGGAAACAAACTACTTTTTGACACAGAGCTTCTGGTTATAGGAATCAGATTTTAAAAATGAATAGTTTTAAAATTGCTTGACTAAAATATGGGCTTTGAATGGATTTAATACCATTTTTTATGATAGATATTTTGCTTTCCTGAGCTATCCCATCCATACTTCACATACTAAGAATAGCCAGAAGTATATCTCTTTCTTTTCCTTTGCTTTTGCCTTGCTTACTTATCCTAGGCTGTATATAATGGCTATAAAACCGGTGACTTAGCCTTTTCCACATATTGAAAGTGCTTCAGTAATAAAAAGGGTAGGAAAAAATAATAAATAAATGTGGCAAATATTAGGCAATGCCACTTTACATGCATTCTTTTAGTGATGGGCTGGCTCATGCACACTGAGAAACTGTAAGAGATGAGTGGGTACTACATGGTGTTCTGTAGTGTATTTGGTTCTAGGAATCTTGTATCTGGGATCTTACTTTGGCTTTGGATATTTTGTGGAAACAGTGACCTCTGGGAGTGATTTAGAGACAGGCTCTGCTTATCCTATTGCATAAAGGCAGATGTGGGTGAAAGGACTACCCTTATGTGTATCAATATGTGACTATCTGTGTTAATACATGCATATATCAGTCTAGAAAAATATGTGTCTGTGGGAGGCATGGTTCAGTCAGCACCCTATCTGTATGTGTCGATTGATGCCTGCAGGGGTGGTGTGCCACTCCATGGGTGTGCAGGTGGGTGGGCAGGTGGGTGCAGATGAATATACTTTGTGTCAGTCATTCCTGTGTAAGACAAGGTGAGAATCAGATTTCAGCTTGGTTGGTTTCAGGCCAGCATAAGATGGTGACTGGCTTTAAGCCAAGATTACTATTTTCTTACCAAATTATATGTACAGAAGTGCTGGCATAAAGGACATACGTTTAGAAAATTGCAAAGAAAGTTAACTGTGAGCTCAGAGTTCAAATTGGAGCTGTATTGAAGGGAACATATGTAATTGAAGTGCCAGGGGCTCCAGTTCTGTGGGTAATTGTAGCTTCATTGCTTAATGTATGTGAAATTTGTATAGACTAGGACAGAATTATTCCTATTTATGTATTCCGTTTTGCTTATATTGGGCAATGACACACCAATTATCACTGTTCAAATCACTTAGTGCTCCTATTACCATTCACTCCAAAGTGTGTGCTTTTGATTTCAGTGCCTAACATCAGAGGATAACTTGGGAAATTATGCTTGGCTAATGGCTAGAGCTCCCTCACTCTCCTTTGATAACAGTGCTGCCCTCATTGTATGCTTTTGTACATGAATAAAAATAGAGAATTGCTTCTAAGGGGAAGCAAGTAAGTTGTTTGACACGAGGCCTTCCAGTGCCTTATCCCTGGTGAAATCTCAGTGTCTGCCTGTATTTATAACTCCTTCGGGTCTGTGACAGATTATATAATCACAACTGAATCCCAGGAGAAATGGTAGCTGGATTATCACCGTTTTAAAGGCAGATCCATGTCACAAAGGAGGCAGAGTTAAAGTGACCTGAGTGGAAGTTGACAGGTCGTGAAGGTGAATTAGCTGCTCTGGTGTCAGTGGGTGCAAATCACTGTGGGGGGCGGTCACCACGGAAGAAAAGGTCTCTTCTGGGTTAGCTGCTGGGCCAATTAGGTGCTAATGGCAGCAGAGAACTATTCTTTTGGTGGAATAAGAGGCCCGCTGAGATCAGAGTCAGCAGGACAGCAAAGATGAGCATTTTGTCATCATGTGGAAACAACAGATACTTTTTAACCTTCTCTTTATCTACAAAACACACAGAGATAGCCCATGGAAGTTTTGAATTTTCCTTTTACCTTCATTAAAAACAAAATATTTCACCTTCTCACTGTTGTGTCTCTGTGTTTTCCTTCTTTTCAATTATATATTTGGCAGCATACAAATCAGATATGCCCTTAAAAAGCTAACTTTATAGCAAGAATCTGGTTTTGAATTATATTTTTCCATTGATCCACTCTTAGAAAATTGTATATGTATCTGTCTAGAAAGTAGTTTATCCCCTAATTGTAAAGAGAGAACCTAAATGTGATTAAAACTTTACCAATTTACTTAAAAATCACATATTATAAAGAGCAATTATTCTATTTTGATAAATTAATGTCTTAAGAAATTAGTCAAGTAAAATAATAATGGTGCTACTGTAAACAAATCCTACCACAGAAAACTATATCTAAATTAAAATTGTGGTGTTTATCGTATGGTAAGATTTAGTAACATCAGTTGGAATTCTGAAAGTTGCTCACAGGTGCAGAGCTGTGCAAGAGAGTCTATAGATCTCCCTCAGTATCCATGGAGGATTGGTTCCAAGACTTCCATCTAATACCCAAATCA